ATGTTAGAATTTCCAAATAATCAACATACTCCTGCACCACCGCATCCTTATGAAGTCGACGGCATTTGATCCAACGCCCAGCTAAGCAACATTCATACGTTGTTTTGTTTTTATTAAATATGTTTTAAATAACCCCTCTATTGTGTCCCTGTCATATAGGGTCCAGTCGTTTGATTATAATAAGACCCGGAAATAACAAATTTGGCCGCTAATATCGTAACATTTAGACATATTCACACATTGATTGGTACAAATCATCCCCCCCCCACCATTAGGTACTTTTTCAGATGTGTTCAAATGACGTTGACTATTAAGTAAATTTAGAGATTTTCGACTTCTTTCGTTGAGCAACGATCACATGACGGTAACAATTGTGAAGACGATACAGTTCCAGTGAAATTTAATGGTGCCTATCTATATTTTGAACCATGTGGAGCTGACGTGAACATTCGTGAACATTATGGATGAACACCAGTTCATGTCTTTCAAAAAACAGGATAGTGAAGAGAAGTGCCACAACTTAAAGAAAGTAACTATCGATTCTCCAGAGAAATCTACCAATGAACGGGGAATTCGAGACAAATGAAATGAAATGGGGTTTAACGTCCTACTGTTCTGCTCCTAAACTTGCCTAATGAAGACGGGCATACGCCATACAGTGTGCCATGAGGGAAATTTTGCCCGGGCACCGGCGCTACGGCCTACTCTTATATCGAATTCCAACTGCCAAGGGATCGTTTACGTGTACGCCAATGTGTACACAGGACCTCGGTTGTTTGTCCCATCCGAACGAGTAGACAGCTGTCCTTGTCAGGCCCTCCGTCCTGCATCACTGACAAGGGAAAACCACGCCGGAAAATCTGGATGAACTCTCTGGGAATTCGAGACGGTCATTAGAAATGAAACATGTGGTATAAGGACAATTGTTGTAAGTTATGAAAGGACACATACATTCACCACAACTAATAGGAAGAACTCTTTGGTTGAATTGGGAATGATGAAGCTCTCCGACAGGTTTGTTTAACAAAGAAATAACTTGAGAATAACCAACGTGACTTTAAACAACGACCTAATACATCGACAATTCTTAGGGAATATAAACACGTATTTAAAGGAGTGGGAAGTTTTAGAGATCCTGTAACACAATAAGACCTTAACCTGTGAAACCGGATGCAACACCTATCGCACAAAAGCCACGAGATAGCTAACAGAAACAATTAAAACAACTTGTAGATAATGGTGTTAAAAATGACTTTTATGACCTCTTGTTGTACAACCAAAGCCAAAATTCAATAAAACACCGAAAGTAGAACTCACTTCCGAGATGGTTAGAGCTAGTACAGATCTTAAAACAGATGCAGAGAACCCGGGTAGTCCAATGACCTATCGTTAAAGACTTAATACATAATCTTCATGAATGTTTTAATATTTTCGAAACTTGCCTTCAAGAGCCATCGTTACATTCTCAACTCTATGGGGTAAGTACAGTCCCAAAACGTTACCATTTGGTGCCACAGCATCGCGAGGTGTGTTTGATGAAATCTTGTTCAGTGTGTTTGGGGACATACCATTTTGCCGTAATAACAGAGAGGACATTCTCATTGGAGGGAAAACTGCAGATCACAACGAGACCTTAGAAAAGATCTTGAAAAAGCATCTGACGGTGGAATAACCATAAACAGCAGTTCAGAATATACTTATTAGGCGCTCCTAGATTCAGAATAATCACAGCAAACAAGCCCGTCGTATCCATGTTTAATAACGCAACGATAAAACCTCCTCCGAGAATAGAAAACAGGCAGTTGCCGTGCAAGATACGCCAGCATTTTGCAAGAGATAATAATAATAATAATAACGATGTTTTAGCACTCTTGAGTTATAATGGCAAATTATTCCAAATTGTTGCAGAGGCGTAGGAAAATGACCGACCAAAAAATGTCTTTAAATTGTAACCAGAGTCTCCAGTAGAAATTGATCAGAAGAGCGCAACATCGTGAAGGAACATATGGGTGTACAAGTTCTTGTAGATAGGTTGGAGCCATTTTGAACACTGATTGGTAGGTTAGGCACAAGATTTTGAATTCGATTCTTTCTGAAATCCTAAGCCAGTGGAGGGAATCAAGAACAGGGGATATGTGACATATTTGTTTAGTTCTCGTTACGATTCTGGCGCATTTATTTTGGATTTGCCGAAGTCGTTGAATTTGTTGCTTGGAGGTTCCTATAAAAAGAGTGTTGCCGTAGTCCAGTCTAGAAATCACCATACACCGAACAAGTGTGGCAAGTGCATCCCTAGTGATAAGATGTCTAATGGATCCAATATTTCGAAGGTGATAATGAGATGTTTTACACAAGTAACTGACGTGTGTTTCCATTGTTAACGAAGAGTCAATGTGAATTCCGAGATTCGTAACAGACGAAGCGAAAGGAATATTTAGGGATTGTACTTTACATTTTTTAAGTCGAGATTGAGGACCAATAAGATTTGCTTCAGTTTTATCAGAATTTAGTTTTAACATGTTATCGTCCTTCCATTTCTGGACATCATTTTTACAATTTTCCAATTGATGAAAGGCAGCAAATTGACTTGTATGTGGTGGAAGGAGGCTGTTAAACAGGTGAGTATCGTGATCAAGTGCCGATTAAACAAGTCTACGAGGGGTTTGGTGTAGAGTTACGGGGGTTGACACAGATTGTCTAACAACAACAGCTTGTGATCTTTGGGACAAGTATGGTGAGCATCAGTTTAACACAGTGGAACTGATTCCATATTCAAACTCGAGACCCTGTAGAAGTTTCCTATGGACGATCGTATCAAAAGGCAGCTGACAGATCTAGTAGTAGCAAAATTGACACCTCACCTCTGTCGACGGATTCCTTAGCTGCATTTAAATAACAATTGAGGGCAGTTGCTGTACTGTGTGCAATCCGATATGCAGATTGAAATTTGTCCCTCAGATTACTTCTATCCAAATAGCTAACCAATTGCATGTTTATGACTTTTTCAAGAATTTTTGAAGTGAAAGGTAGGTTTGAAACTGGACGATAGTGTTTTAATAGCTCAGGGTCCACTGATGGCATTTTGAGAAGGGCTTTTATAATTGCATGTTTAAACGACTGCGGTACAATTCCAACCTTCATGCTGGTATTGGCTATTTTGGTTAATACAGGAAGGAGAACATCTAAGACTTGAATGAAAAGACTGGTTGGGATGGGATCTAATGCACATGATGTCGGTTTTGATAGCATAATAATATTTTTAAGTTTCTGACAGGATTAAAATATTGAAAGTGTTCACAAAGTTGAGCACGATCTACGGCACGAGTATTAGATACTACATTAACCACGTTAAAACTAGTTCGGATGGGTGTTAAAATTGGTGACATTATTAACCTCATCTTCTTCGGGATAGATCACATCTTGAGCCTTACAAGTAGGTAGTTTAACGTTCCAAACAGTGCTTTGTATATATCGGATAACAATTGGGACATCTAGACGGACCACAAGCTAAAAACGCGATTTTTTCGTAAAATCAGGGGCCATAATTCAGGAAAGCTACGAAAGGAACCAAGATCTTTGTGTAACAAATATGCATTTCAAGTTTCATCAAAATTGGATGAAAATTATGACCCTCTAGATTGTCCTCAAGCTTAAATTTGATTTTTCGTAAAATCAGGGGTCCTAATCTATGAATGTACGATACAATACATGCCAAGGTCGAAAGGAACCGAGGTCCTTCGGATATAAACCTACATTTCAAGTTTCGTCAAAATCGGATAAATATTGTGACCTGTAGAGTGTCCAAAAATAAAAGGTAATGGAGATTCAGTGGGGCGCTGATTTTGAGATGATTTACGAGCCAGGAAATGGCGCCCATGACCCTCTGGAGTTTCTGTTCAGACGCTTTCACCTGGTATTGGGAATGACAGCACAGAGAAAATAGTGTAGACTATCACAGTGACAGAACATGCCATTTCACAAGCGAGAACAGGGAGATGGCTGTACAAAACATGCTGATAGGGCACAGTTCTACCCCTCATCAGCCACAGGGGTAACTCCAAATAATACTCCTCTCATGAACAGAGAAATAAGAGAATCAAATTTGATTATGAGGATCTCAGTATCACAACAGACCACCGACATCAAAACCAGATAAACATTGTGACCTCTAGGGTGTGTAATATCGCTGGCGATATTTGTGCTACATGAATACTTATATCATCCTATAGATGTTGGTATGGCCGTATAAGTTTGAAGGAGGTATTATAAGACTATTGTACATTTATTTGCTCTTTATATATCTTTAAATAATTACTGGCTTACCAAACATGTATTGAAGGGAATGATAAAAAGAGTTCTAATTTGGTAAACATTCAATTCTAGGTTGATAACAAAATAACACGTGTGAAACTTCTGGTGTGAGTTTCCACTATTCATGTAAAGGTGGTTTTCGCCGCCATTAGGCTAGTTAACCAAGTCTGGGTGGATTGCGATTTAGATAATGACTTTATTTTAAAAACTTTTATGTATTGTACCATATGTAAGCAACTTAATATATAAAATGTAAAAACGAACTGTTGCTTTGTTATTCCAGAGACGACAAACGTCTTAACTACATGGCATAAGAAGAAGAGAATACACAACCAAGGGAGACAATTGAAAATACTAGACGATCACAAGAAAAGATGGGTCATACGTAGGAGGTGGCGACCGGTTTGTCGGAGGCCCGCTTTCCCCGTTTGACAAAAGACCCATGGTACTACAAGTGTCCACAAGCCAAAATGTGATCTGTCGTACAATCAGGGGCCAAAATCTATGAAGTTAAGGTCCGATAAATGGCAATATCGAAATGATCCAAAATTGGATAAAATTTGTAACCCGTAGAGTGGACGGAGGGACAGGGGCTTATAAATAAAAAGTTTTCAAACAAAATCAGTTGCTTGTCGCACGGACCCGTTCAGAGATATAGGCCACCAAAGTGGAAAGGACAATATCGGGTCAAATTTTCACAAAACTTTTATTTGCAAAAACTGCTAGAAAATCATCTGAACTTCGTTAAACGTGAGGATAATTATTATTAGATACTTGAAAAAGTTCTGTTATCTTGAATTTGTTTGAGATATCTCAGAACGAAAGTCTTATACTTTGTCTCAGAACGGAAAAAAACACACCGATTTCCATCGATGCTGCTTTGTTATTTCCACGTACCAAATAGTTAACAAATTGGTTATTAAATTGACTATGATTTTTAATTTTAAAATTTAATATATTTTCCAATGTGTAATGCTTTTGCTTACTTGAACATGAGATTAAGGGGCTCAGATTAACTCTTTTTACTGACATAATTAACTATAACACTAACTTTTTGTTCTGATCTCACCCAATGTTTACTTAATATTAATTTTAAAGTTTAAAAAAGCACAACTTTGCAGTGTAGATTAGTAATAGTGTGTTAGAATGATACATACTATTTGTTTTAGTTTAATTAATAGTAATTTAGTTAAATAAATAATTCTAAATGACTTGTACCAAGGGGAAAAAGCAGTAAAATATTTATTTTCGGTAATGTTGATCATAGTTGTCCAGAAGCGATATGTCTGCTTGACTCCGCTCACAGAGATTCTTCGTATTATTTTGAATATTCATATCCCACTGGAGTGCGTTACATTCTGTTGGGCTCTATTCATAGACGGTGCACCAAGTGTCGCCATAACATTTGTTCCAGGGTTTGCTATACATGTACCAGCTCTTGGTGTACTCAACTGCTGAGTCTGGTTTACATCAGGCACTGTACGATATGTTGGTTGTGAAGAAGTAAACATATTGCCTACTATGCCAGTCACGTAACTGATAGCTGCAGAAACTGTGTCCCTAAAATGATTAGAATTAAAATTGTATTATCGCCCAATTCACAAATGATCATCAATTCAGTAAAGAAGTTATTGTCAGCTACAAGATACGCCCACATTTTGTAATAGACGGGGAACAGGGGATATCGACAGGCAGGGTTCACCCTCTCATTGTCTCAATGCTTAACATGGAATTAAGAGAAATATGTCATAAACTGATGACAAATTTATCATTTTACAACTAGAATCCTTATTGGTCAAGGTTATTTTCAATGAACAATGATTAAAATATACATTGTTTAATAGGGGAAATTTATCAGCAAGTGGTAGGTATGGGCACCAACTGTGCACCTTTGCTTGCTGATTTGTTTCTTTATTCCTACGAAGCCGATTACATACAGGCACTCGTAAAATCAAATAAACGATTAGTCGGACATTTTAATTTCACTTATTGATATAGCGATGATGTTCTATCACTGAATAATCCAAATTTTAGTGATTATGTAGAATTCATATACCCTGATGAGCTCGAAATTAAAAACACTACTGACCGTGACAATTACGCTTCCTACTTGGATTTGCGTCTCGATTTTGACAATTGCCAGAAACTTAGTGTTAAATTGTACGATAAACGTGATGACTTTGACTTTCCGATTGTTAACTTTCCATTTATTAGTAGTAACATTCCAATATCACCAGCTTCTGGAGTGTTTGTGTCTCAACTAATTCGTTACGCGAGAGCTTGTTCATTTTATTCTGATTTTTTAAGTAATCGAGGCATTTGTCATCTAAGCTTCAACTACAGGGATACTTGCAAACTAAACTTATTAAAACCTTTAAAAAGTTTTATGGGCGTCATATTGACTTGATTGGTAAATTATATAACATGTCTCTCTCGGCTATTATTCTAGATATATTTAATTGACGCGTATACTATCTCCCTGATAATGTCTGTCTACTACAAAGTTAACACTGTTCATCGCGTGCATTTTGCATACCGATAGTCCATTGGCCAATCACGCTACTTTAACGAGATTTCGCCTAATAGTTTGGATGCAGCTGTGGCGCCAGGCAGGGTAAGCTTACTCTTCCGGACACCTGTTACCACTGTTTGTCGTGTATTTTATACACGGTGAACAGTCCATATGCTGATTACACTATTTTGCCTTATTACACTATTTTGCCTATGCCGTTTTTTAGGACTTCGAATTTTGTCTTATGGTTTGGATTGTTCGTACTTGGTTTATTTTATTAGTATTCTCCAATCTATTGTGTCACAGTGACTATACATGATCGGTCGTATTACTTCTCTTCCTTCATTCTTGCAAATATTTTTTGAGAGATTATTTTGAGTGAAGCCTGCATTATTACAGATCGGGGACTGTACAGCACAGTACACAGTTGTTTATTGTTTGCAATGTCTGTGTAGTTTGTCTTGTCCGCAGGTTTATCTTGTCAGTTTTGTTTTGTGTGTAGTGCGGTCTTCCTGCACTTTCTATGATATAACCCTCATGTTTTACGATTCGGTGTTTTAATAGTTTCCATAAAATCTGTGGCCTCTAGAAGGTCCACAACCTTGCTATACGTATTATAAGCTTTTCCACTATTTGCATTACAGCCATTTTGATGGTGATTTTAAGTCAGAATATTCGAACTCAACCTTGGGTTCACAAGCCAAAAACGCGATTTTGCATTCAATTAAGGCCATAATCCATGACGTTACGGTCTGACATGTGCCAATATAGAAAATAACCGAGAGGATGAACCGTCTGTTACAAAATGTGGGCGTTTCTTGCATGGCAACCGCTTGTCCTTTATGTCGTCTTTATTGAATTGATATGTTAATCAAAATCAGTTAAAAAAAAAAAAACCTGTAGAGTGTCTACAAACAAATAAAATTTGAACTGACGGACGGACATAGTGATATGATTCGTTATTCGTAATACCTCAGTATATATGAAACAATCCTTCTCCACATTCCACCGTGTCCTTCCCTCTCTTCTCGAAATCTCTCCAATTCCTCTTGTATTTTCCTCTTCAATTCCTCTTGTCTTTTCATCTCCACAGCTTTCTCGTACATCTCGTTGGTGTAGTGTTCTTCCCCATTTTTTGCTTTTAGCTGATCAATCACAGCAAATGCATCTGATCTGCTTTCGTTTCCTGTACCATAGCATTCAACAAAGGCATATCTGCCTTCGTCCAAAGCATCTATCAAATACTTAATATGTTTCGGTGGATTTTGTCCTTGTTTGGATTTTAAGTTCACAACATACTGCTCTGGGCTTTGGTTGGAATGGCGAAGGTTATTTTCACATGTGAAAATGACCACCATGTAGTTAAAAACCTCATATCCAAATTTTTCTGTTAGTTTCAGGAGAGTGTGCTTGTCATCATCCAAAAATCTGGAGGCGATGCTGATAACATAAGCAAAAACATGTGGACCCGGTCGAGATAGTTCTACACCTCTACCAAGAATCTGCTCGATTTCGTCATCACTCTGACAGGTATCAAAATATCCGGGAAAATCTATAAATTCATATTGTTTCTCATTAAACTGCACCGCTACTTTTTGTGGATTTATGGTCACCGATGAGGCACTTGTATCCGTCTTACATACTTTTGATTTAGCCATGAAATTGCAGAGCGAACTCTTTCCCACGCCGATTTTACCTATTACAACACACCGCAACGGTAGAAAATCTGAAAACAGAAAAAAAAAATCTTTTTCGAAGCAATAGAGCACCATATCTATTTAGATATTTTCTCTGAAATTCCAAACAGAAGACATTTACAAGTCTTGTATGTATATTGAACAGATAGTTTAGTAATTAATGTAGATAAAGTAGGAAATGAAATGGGGTTTAACGTCCTACTGTTCTGCTCCTACTGGGCTAATGAAGACGGGCATACGCCATACAGTGTGCTATGAGGGAAATTTTGCCCGGGCAGCGGCGCTACAGCCTACTCTTATATCGAATTCCAACTGCCAAGGGATCTTTTACGTGAACGCCAACGTTTACACGGGACCTCGGGTTTTCGTCCCATCGGAACGACTAGACAGCTGTCCTTGTCAGGCCCCTACATCCTGCATCACTGACAAAGGGAAACCACGCCGGAAAATCTGAATGAACTTTCTCGGCCAATGCAGGGATCGAACACCCAACCTCCAGGCTAGCGAGCCAGCGTCTTACCCACTTAGCCACGTGATCCCCCAGATAAAGTAGGCTTTTCCATTTAAACCTACCTAGTTCAAATATACATGTATTAGTCTTGAGGCTCAGTGCGGAGGGGTGTCCATCAAATGGGCACAAAACCAGACCCAACTTTTCTATACTAAAAATTCGCGTAGAATACGACGGTAATCAGTCCGCAGTTGGGGAGTTTTCGAGATATTCGGGGTCAAAGGTGTTCATTTGCACTGAAAGTGAATGCACAGCGATTCTTGTATCATGAAAATATATCACCGTTACACCCTAAGGGTAGTTGAGTTCAAAGTTCGTAAAAATCGGACCAAAACTGACAGCCAAAATGGCCGCCCCTCGTACTCAAATAGCGTAAAATATGGTATATCAATGTTGTGGACCCTGTAGAGGTCACAATTTTCTTCTGATTTTGATGAAGCTTGAAATGTAAGTTTATAACCCAAAGATCTTGGTTCCTGTCGATATTCGCGCATATCGGATAGAAACTTCCTGAATTACGAAAAATCGCTTTCTTAGCCCCTCTAGATGTCACAATTATTATTCGATTTAAAAAAAAAAGTTCAATTATATCACTGTTACACCGTAAATTTAGCTGAGTTCGAATGTCGTGAAAATCGGACCAAAACTGCCGGACAAAATGGCCGCCTCTCTTACACAATTAGTGTAAACATCTGGTATATCCCTAAGATCTCAGTCCCTTTTGATATTTGCGCATTTCTGATCATAACTTTCTCTGTTATTGCCCCTGATTGTACAAAAAATCGTTTTTGTTTTTAGCGTGTTCTCTATCCATCTCTTGTAAAATTTTATAAACTTTTGTCTAGTAAACGTTCGTTCCCTTACCGATAAATGTGCTGCATTGACCGAATACCTAACTGAACATAATTGTGATATTACATTCATCACTGAAACGTGGCTTAACTCTAATACACGTGGTCCAGTTGTCAGTGAACTAAAAACTTTAGGTTACAACCTTTACCACATCACACGCCGCTATTGGGGGGGGGGGGAATAGTATCCAAAATTGGGATTCCTGTTGAACTGAAAAAATGCCAATCATTTAAATCTTTTGAAAATGTTGAACTAACACTGAAAACTAACAATGGATCAATTAGGCTTGTTTGTATCTATAGGCCACCATTATCTAAACAAATCTATATGTTCAAACTCTGATTTCCTTTCTGATTTTAGTTCTTATTATGAATATTTGATACTCAACCCAGGAAAACTACTCATTGCTGGTGACTTCAACATTCATCTTGATGTTCCTACAAATTCTTTTGCAATCCAATTTCAAGATCTTATCCAGTCCTTTGGCTTAGTACAACATGTTATCAACCCAACGCATAATCTTTGTCATACTTTAGACTTGGTATTATCACGCTGCGGAGAACTGGATGTCCAAAACTTAAGGATAAATGACCCATTTCTCAGTGATCACTATGCTATTCATTTTATGGTTCCATGTGATCCAGCTGAGAAAACGGCTCATTCTATCATAAAATACAGAAAGATCATGTGCATTGATCACACCAAGATTGCAGGCGATATAAAAGAATCATGTTTGTTTACATCTTCACTTTCAACTTCTGATCTAAATGAACTGCTCCATATATATACTCAGCCAAATTAAAAACTTGACACTCGGGATTTTTGGGACTAGATTTTTAATATTTGGTTTTAGGCAACTATTTTAGTGTTATGTTGTGAACAGACAACCTTGACATCAACAAAAAGCAAGAATACGTCTCGCCGAAAGTCCTTGACATTGATAACGTTCGTGATGTCACAGTACCCCCCAAAATGAAATTCACAGACTTGGAGAACAATCGGAATAAAGTGTTTAGTAACGGTTGTGGCCTCCTCTAGCGTCTCGTACTGCCACACAACGTCTTCTCATGGATCTCAGAACATTTGTAAATACTACCCGGGGAAGACTTCGCCACTGCTCAACAAGAGCATGTTAAAGGTCCTGCAACTAAGTGGTGGATTCACTTGCTGACGAACACGTCGACCCAGTTCGTCCCAGATGTGTTCAATAGGATTAAGGTCGGGGCTAAGCGACGGCATTTCTTAAAAAATTCTGGGTAGCAATTGCTGTATGGGGTCGAGCATTGTCTTGTTGAAACGTTAGTCCAGGCCCATGTCTCTGCATAAACGGAAGAAGAACAGGTTGCAAAATCTGATCTCTGTACTGGACAGCATTTAAGTTCCCTTGGACAACAAGAAGAGGAGAACGTCCATGTGCACAAAAAGAACCCAAAACCATGATGCTGCCGCCACCAAATCGGTCAACTTCTCTGACGCATACCACTGTCTTTGAGTAAATCTTATGTGTCTTGTGGCCCACACAAGTCGGTTACGGCGATGAAGAGGTGTCAATATTGGTCCATTATAGGGCCTCCGAGCTCGAAGACCAGCAGCCTGCAAGCGATTTCGAACAGTTTGTGCAGTTACCCTTCCACCAAACATCTCTCTACTTGTGGACGTTGCAGTGACAAATCTGTTTCTAAGATGACGTAATCGTATTGCTTGATCTTCCTGGAGTGACGTCACACGTGGCGCTCCCGCCCTTGGGCGGTCGGCAATAGTTCCAGTTCAAAGCACTCTCATTCTAAGATTAATTATTGTCTGGCGTGAACAATTAAAGGCTCTTGCAATGAATAATAATCTATCCAAAATTTAGAAACAAGCCTTTTTGTTAACATTTACCAACACTTGAAAACGGCAGCCATGGTAGCTTAGATTTTGACAATTCTGTTTTCATCAATTTACAGAACAGTCCATATGAATAATGTTGATATTAAAGGATGTGACAGTTCTTGCAAATGAAGCGCAATAGTCTATAATATTACGATTTACCTACCACCTCATGTAAGGCAAATTGTGATAGTATAAGTCAAAATGTATTTACTGCATTTTTATTTACCTTTGTGTGTCGAATTACCGCTCAAAGGAAGTGTTGCTCGCATCAATGAGTTCATGCATGACTTATTTTTTGTCCCCCGCCTTTCGAAGAAAGCAGGGGACTATTAAAATAGGTTCGTCCGTCGGTCTGTCTGTCACACTTTTTGGGAAACAATAACTCTCTTCCTAATTGAGCTAGAATGTTCAAACTTGGTGTATGTGTTTATTAGGTCAATGCCTTGATGGAGTTCGAAGATGAGCATTTTCCGCTTAGGGTAAGCAGAGATAAGCAATTTGATTGGTTGATGCTTTGGGACACGATAACTCTCTTCCTAATTGGGCTAGAATGTTCAAACTTGGTGTATGTGTTGATTAGGTCAATGCCTTGATGGAGTTCGAAGATGAGCATTTTCCGCTTAGGGTAAGCAGAGATAAGCAATTTGATTGGTTGATGCTTTGGGACACGATAACTTTTAATTGAGCTAGAATGTTCAAACTTGGTGTATGTGTTTATTAGGTCAATGCCTTGATGGAGTTCGAAGATGAGCATTTTCCGCTTAGGGTAAGCAGCGATAAGCAATTTGATTGGTTGATACTTTGGGGCACGATAACTCTCTTCCTAATTGAGCTAGAATGTTCAAACTTGGTGTATGTGTTGATTAGGTCAATGCCTTGATGGAGTTCGAAGATGAGCATTTTCCGCTTAGGGTAAGCAGAGATAAGCAATTTGATTGGTTGATGCTTTGGGACACGATAACTTTAGTTCTAATTAAGTGAGATTGATGAAACTTGGTGTATAGTTTCATTACAGTAATACCTTGACTAAGGTTGATAATGAGCATTTTCTGCTCAGGGTAAGCAGAGCGATACGCAATTTGATTGGTCGAGACTTTGGAAAACAATAACTCTCCTACTTTGATTGTCCCCCGCCTTTCGAAGAAAGCAGGGAACTATTAAATTGGGTTCGTCCGTCTGTCTGTTTGTCTGTCTGTCCGTTCCGCTTATGGTAAGCAGAGATAAACAATTTGATTGGTTGATCTTCGAATTGAGTAAATGTTCATGCTTATTGTCCCCCGCCTTTCGAAGAAAGCAGGGAACTATTAAAATGGGTTCGTCCGTCTGTCTGTTTGTCTGTCCGTTCCGCTTAGGGTAAGCAGAGATAAACAATTTGATTGATTGATGCTTTGGGACACTATAACTTTAGTTTTAATTAAGTAGATAAACAATTTGATTGGTTGATGCTTTGGGACACTATAACTTTAGTTCTAATTAAGTGAGAGTGATGAAACTTGGTGTATAGTTTCATCACAGTAATACCTTGACTAAGATCGATAATGAGCATTTTCTGCTCAGATTAAGCAGAGCGATAAGCAATTTGATTTGCTGAGACTTTGGAACACAATAATTCTCCTTCGAATTGAGTTAAAATGTTCAAAATTGGTGTGTATGCTTATTGTCCCCCGCCTTTCGAAGAAAGCAGGGGACTATTAAAATGGGTTCGTCCGTCGTCTGTTTGTCTGTCTGTCCGTCACACTCCTTCGAATTGAGTTAAAATGTTCAAAATTATTATAACCAGGTATTGATAAAAGCATCAATTGAGCAATTCCAATACAATCCAATACAATGAATATAGGCAAGGTAAATAAACAAATAAATGGAAAAAACAAATTGAAAAAGAAACTATTATAAATTAATTAAATATGTAGTATGCAATAATGAATTGACATTTAATGACAGAAAGAAAACAGTGAACTTTGCACAACTTGCAGCAAGATGGAAAATAGACCCGTTGATACAACCAAACTCTAGATCTGTAGGCATAGAGCATGTTTTCCCCTTAATATGCTATAATTATTCCATCAAAAACATTGTATGCTTAGACTATAAGTAAAGATATACTGTTTGATTGTTCAATACTTTGTAAAAGATAATTTGTGATAAATTTATATGTGTCCTCTAATTATTTTCCTATTTCGGCGGGGGACATCAGCCTCACTGTTGGCTTGTTTAATATCATCAAATCCCGTAAATGACACCTCATTTGTATTTTGATATGAACTAATCTATTCCGCAGTTGTTTAAAGATATTTTCCTAGAAAAGTATTTATCGGGTGGTTATTTCCAATAAAAAGTATGTCAAATTTGATATATATGGAAAGTATAGACACCCAATCATACTACAAAAATACTGGATTACCCGAAAAACGCCCATGGGGCAAGCACTGGGCAAAATTGTCAGAGTATGACTAACTGGCAACCCGACTGATATCTGCCAGCTTATTGTGTGCCAGCTTAAGTGAGGAAGCGGCTGTTATTTTTTGATCAAATTTAGGCGGTTTTGGGAATATTGAGGGGTGTCAACATACAAGACTCTGTAATTAAACGGCAGAAAAAGAAGTTGACAGAAATAATTAAGAATTTACTTAGGCCCCAATATGTATGGTAAATTTACAGTATGTAATGATGAATACATTATGAAAAATGGACACTCGCACAATGAAGCAAATTTGACAGACATTGTACCTAACAACAGCTTACTTATAGCTATAGGTATCCCCGGCGAATACAAAGGTTTGAGTTGAAGCAAATTATTGATAGATTGGTTACTTTGAATATATTTTTAGTCCGAATATATCATCAAATCACAAAGTTTGTACGCGGGCATGTATCTTTAAATTAAAAATTTGTATTTAAAATTAACACTTTTGTCATTGATATTAGCATAAGGTCAAGGACATACCAGATATCGGACACGAAAGCTACCTACGAAACATTGTTAACATCTATACAACAGCGAAATGTGTTATAACTAAAGGGAATACGACACAATTGTATGTATGGTGATGTAAATGAAACCTTTGCATATCGATACAATGTTCCTCGTCTAAAGATATGAAGGGTCATTTTCAAGATTGAAAAAGAAAATGGCGGATCCCAACCCCGTGGTAGCAAGGACGTGGAAATCTCACACTACAAGGAAATAGGAAAGCAACACGAAAATCTAAGACTCAGCTACTGTACTATATAGATCAGGGTATAAATAGAGAGATAATAGCTGTCCCAAGTTTTATCGTTTGGTCTGTAGGTGTAACCGCGATTGGGCAAGAAAGTGATGAAACTGATCTTTTCGTTTACATGATAACACGCGGATGTACGAATTAAAGGGGTATTTGTATCCAACGGCCACTATTCTGTATCGTCAGCCTTGTTGGTGTTGAGACTACTATGCAACAAGATGTTGTCACTTTACCTTGCCCTTAATGTAGATTCTCAATAAGCAATAAACATGAACTTGCAAATCGCACACCCCAGGGTTCTGTTATTAGCATGATGTCTTTGATTGCAAAATTACTTTTATACCACATATTGAAAATATTGTTAAATGAGGACAGAATGTTCTGAATGTAATGCGATGCCTGACTGGCATATCCTGGGGAGGAAATAAAACGACCCTGCTAATGATATATAGGTCATTGAAAATATCAATATGTGACTGGCTGTGTTTTGTTTCCGAGTGCAAATAAAACAACGCTTTCTCAACTAGTTTACAATATCAGGCAATAAAGATAGCAACGAAAGCTTCATTTGGCACAAAAAGGGAAAGTCTATTGCAAAAAGTAGGTGAAATGTCTTTCGTATTGAGGCGCAACGAACAACATTGAGATACTGGGCTAAGATACAATATCTTGGAGACAGCTGTCCAACATTTAAGTGTACAAAAACATCAATTAAAAATTAAAAATAAATGTTAAATCAGACTCAGCCGTTCGGTCACAGGAGCAAATGATCTATTCAAAGACATAAGATTAGATCACTGTCAGTTTACTGACAGGGTATTTTTGTATTAAGCCCCATGGACTTTATTAAATCAAAACTATGGCATAAGCCTAAGTAATGTTGTTAAGAAGAAAGTAAAATGGTCATCTTATGTAAAAGTATACACGGACGGATCTCACGATCCAAACACAACCCGAACACCATTAGGTGTAGTCATTCCTGAATTTAATGTTAATTTATCGAAAAAAGGTTACCAGATGGATGTTCCATCCAGATTGCAGTATAAAGGCATGTCTTTAATCATATTTGATTATTAAAGGAGAATGCTACAGTAAAATTTTAATTTTATCATTTTAGTTCATTGTGTAACGGATTTCAGATTTTTTTTTAATGTTTTAGTAACAATAAAATAAAACCAAGTACGAACAATCCAAACCATTAGACAAAATTCGAAGTCCTAAAAAAAACGGTATAGGCAAAATAGTGTAATAACGTTAGAAAACACTTTCGGATTTCCTCAATTACAGAACCCCCCACAATTAATGAGCTGAAGCTAAGTCACGTGACATGACGTAAGAGGCGACTCTCGTGTACCGGTGGCTGTATATTTCAATATAGCATCGGCAGAAACTGACAGCTTGTCAGACATTGAATGCATCCCGAATGTTCTCCCCAATCAGTACGAGCCAATTAGAAAGGCGAGCAACAACGGTGACATTCTACCATTTCTAGACAGGAAGAATGACAACTAGGCACTAAAAACACCGTAGGCCTACCTTGTCTTATCACCACAGTCCTTGGAAGTTGGAGTTGGATTCTCGATAACTTTTCGCTTCATTTATTGATGTTCACGCTTCATCGGCGAAAATATATCAGAGAAAAACTATTAATTCCAATAAGTTTACCCTAGTCCTAGGGTAATAGCTTATTATATGCCCTAGACTACTTTCTTTGTGCAACAATTGAAAAACGAGAGTCACATACATAGGACTGTCGATCGGCATCGGACCGGAGTATCGCTAAAATAAAAAAATTCTATCACACTCATTTACCAATAGTTAAATCAGACGGACTTCCTACATCTAGGACTATCTATGACCGACTGCAAAATCGTCGACATAAGCCCACACCTACTACTGACGCGGAAGATGCTTTGAAGTGGGGATATTAATTTACATTTAGTATTTAGCTGGCCTACCTAGCTGTGTCGTTTACATTTCGTTGTCATGGTTACATCAGTCATTTCTAATGCTAGATTTTGAAAGCGTGTCGGTTTCGCAATAGAACTATGCAGATTTAACATTGAAAGATAACAGAACTGCTATATCTAGATCGACATAATAATATTATTAAAATTGCACTGGTCACGTTCGTAGGCAGATAACTCGAAATGCTCCGAACAAAAAGGAGCGTGTCTTGACATCGCCTCGTTGTCTTCGCTGTGTCCAGACCATTCTGCGTGTTGCCTCATTTGAAAATTAAAAAAAAATGATACGTTTATGCTTCCAGTTAGACGAAATGACGGGATGCAGTGCTCGGCAATAGCCTTCTATAGGGAAATTTACAACGTCTGTTGTCTTTGACGTCACTCACGGAAAACATCAAAACTTGGCTGCAGATATATGCACAAATGTCAATTTGGATTTTTTTTGGTATATTTTTCCTTTGTAAAGATATTCAGAATGACTTTTAAAATTTCGTAGGGCTAAACATATTCTAATATTAAAGTTATTTTTCATATTAAAGATACATTATGGGAGATAAGATACCGAGATGGCAGTTCTCGCTATAATAGTTAAAAACTAGATAGTATAAAGGTAATTTGCTGAAAATTTCAGTCAAATTGATCCACCATGAGCCGAGATAGAAGCTCGTGAAATTTTGGTATAGTCTCGGTCATCATTACTAAAATCATTAATATAAACAGCAAGTCTCGATTATCCACTTTTATTGATTTAATTATCAACGGCCGTTAGCGGCATATAGGAATCTAATCCAGCTAACATCGAAGGCTAGCCTTAACATCGAGAGTTTATTATGGTCTGGATAAGTTAATTAATATCTAATTGATAATTTAGATAACATTTCAGGCCTAAAGAAAGACTTGTAATAAGCAGATTTTGCTCTTGCATAAAGCATGTTTAAAACAACTTTTTGCGATAATATTCTCCTTTAAATATAAATTTGGTCGTTAAATACATGTATATTTCAAGTAGATGGTTTAGTATGATCCAAGGTGAAGGTCAATTAGTTCATTAAATACATGTATATAATAAATATACTTACCCGACATGCTGTACTTTATATCTATTTAGGGATAATCAACTGTTTTGACAGGATAGGTTTACCTATTAATAGAGAAATTATTCTAAACATTACCCTCCATTGGATTATGGTCCGATGCGCACCAAAATCGAAGTCATTCAAGATATTTTGATCCTGAATCATGATCATTTTGTGGCGGAGTACAAATTGGTCATTAGGTGAGGGGGGATATTTGTGGCTTCATATACTGCGCCTAGATATCCCAGGTATTCAACATATGAAAACATCCGTTAAAAACTGAAGTCGCTATCGTATTCACAAGGTTTTTGACAGTGCGTGTGTGGTGGTGGGAGGGGGGTAACTCAGGAACTTTAACGATACACTGTGTATACTTCCCACCAAGTTTGAAACACATACGTTAAAAACTTCAACCTCTATCGTGTTATACATTATATACTACGAATTATACAACACAGCAACAAACTACATGGATACCGGTATCACAAACCTTACTAAACGAGGACGGTTAATAGGGAAAAGCTCAGATGAAAAGACCTTCAATATCTTTCCATCTATCTTGAACTTTGTCACCGAGTATAATTTGTTCTTTTTCAAAATAGTATAATCGGTTTTTTTTAAATACATTCAAAATTGGTTTATTTTCTCTAAGCCTTTGTTTATATATGTGTAACTTAGCTTAACTATGTATCAAATTTGTAATTTTATTGTCCCCCGCCTTTCGAAGAAAGCAGGGGACTATTAAAATGGGTTCGTCCGTCTGTCTGTCCGTCACACTTTTTGGGACACAATAACCCTCCCTCTAATTGACCTAGAATGTTCAAACTTAGTGTAGGTGTTTATTAGGTCAATGCCTTGATGGAGTTCGAAGATGAGCATTTTCTGCTTAGGGTAAGCAGAGATAAGCAATTTGATTGGTTGATGCTTTGGGACACGATAACTTTAGTTCTAATTAAGTGAGAGTGATGAAACTTGGTGTATAGTTTCATTACATCAATACCTTGACTAAGTTCGATATTGAGCATTTTCTGCTCAGGGTAAGCAGGGCGATAAGCAAATTGATTGGCCGAGACTTTGGAACACAATAACTCTCCTTCTAATTGACCTAGAATGTTCAAACTTGGTGTAGGTGTTTATGAGGTCAATGCCTTGATTGAGTGCGAAGATGAGCATTTTCTGCTTATGGTAAGTAGAGATAAGCAATTTGATTGGTTGATGCTTTGGGACACGATAACTTTAGTTCTTATTAAGTGAGCGTCGGGGGACATCAGCCTCACTGTTGGCTTGTTATCATCAGTATCAATGCCAAATAAACATGCTATCAAAATCATTGTTTGCCTTTATAAGTGCCCCTGATTTTTCGAAAAATCACATTAAAAGACGTTTAAATATATCACTGTTACACATCAGTGAAGGCCGAGTCGAATTTCGTAAAAACCTGACCCAAACTGCCGGACAAAATGGCCGCTTTTTGTACGCAAATAGTGTAAAAGTATGTAGTAATACCAAGGTTGTGGACACTTTAGAAGTTACAATGTTTATCCGATTTTGATGAAACTTAAAATTTATGATTATAATCCACAGATCTTCGTTCCTTTCGATAATTGCGCAGATCGTACCGCAACTTCCTGGAGTATGGGCCCTGATTGTACGAAAGGAACCGAGATCTTTGTACAATAAACATACATTTTAAGTTTTATCAAAATCGGATCAAAATTGCGAAATTTGGTAATATAGCTTATATATGAGTTTTGGAGTTGTTGGGTTAAAACTCTGGTCTCAAAAATAAATTTCGAGAATTTTTGATGGTAGAAATTCAAAATGAAATGTAAATTGGTGGAATTTTTTAGGAGCTAAATCGCTAATATCTGGGACCTAGAAATTGACACAAATGGGTCGCAATGTATATAATAATGTAATATGAATGTATATTTTTACTCTTAATTTCAAATCAGCTATGTTCCGCGAAATACGTCAGAAGTTTCAATCTAGTGGCAATCTCTAGCGTCTGGTTATTCCTGTCTACATAGTATTTATTGCGCATGCTCTCCAGATAAGATGGCGTCACCGTTTGACATGACTTGTGGAATATGTCTAGCCTCGTTCTTCGAATCCCTTGTTACAAATAGGACTGAAACGCATTATGGTACCTTTTGCCGGCAAGATTACATCATTAAAGTTGATTTATATTGATAAATAATTCGTGTTTTCAATGTCGAAGAGTTTGGTTGATTTTGAGTTCGAGACTTAGCTACTTTAATTAACCGGTTTGGTAGTTGTTGAGTTCAATCTCTTATCTACGCAAGCCAACAGTGAGGCTGATGTCCCCCAACCTCCCCCGTCGAAATCCCAAAATAAATAGACAAACACATTTATTAATCGCTCATTTATTTTTTTGCAAAAGTATCGAGAAATCAAACTACATACTAAGTTTCGTCACTCTCTATCAGATAGAATCAAGATTATCTTGTCCCAAAGCATCGACCAATGAAATTGATTAGCCCTGCTTAGCTTCAGCTCGAAATGTTAATCATTGAACTCAGTCAAGACATTCACCTAATCTACATCAAGTCTAAACATTCTACCCCAGTTAAATGCAGAGTTATATTCCAATTTCTTGAACAATCAAATTGCTTATCAATCCTTAACCTAAGCAGAAAATTCTCACCATCGAATTTAGTCAAGGTAATGATCTAATAAATCTATATTCGGACTATATTACGACCAAAGTTATCGTGCCCCAAAGCACCAACCAATCAGATTGCTTATCCCTGCTTACCGTAACCAGACAGTGTTCATCATCGAACTCCATCAAGGCATTTACCTAACGAACGTCCACACTAGGTTTGAACATTCTACCTCATTTAAAAGGAGACTCGACCAATCAAATTGCTTATCGCTCTGCTTACCCTGAGCAGAAAATGCTCATTATCGATCTTGTTCAAGGTATGGATGTAATGAAACTATATAGACCAAATTTCATTACTCTCACTTAATTAAAACCAAAGTTATCGTGTCCCAAAGCATCAACCAATCAAATTGCTTATCTCTGCTTACCCTAAGCAGAAGATGCTCATCTTTGAACTCTATCAAGACACTGACCTAATAAACCCCTACAACAAGTTTGAACAGTCTAGCTCAATTAGAAGGGGAGTTTTTGTGTGCCAAAGTCTCGGTCAATCAAATTGCTTATCGCTCTGCCTACCCTGAGCAGAATATTCTTATTATCGAACTTAGTCAAGGTATTTATGTAATCACTCTCAATTAATTAGAACTAAAGTTATCGTATCCCAAAGCATCAACCAATCATATTGCTTACCCTGAGCACAAAATGCTAATCTTCGAACTCAAACAAGGCAGTGACCAAATAAATACCTACACCAAGTTTGAACATTCTAGCTCAATTAGAAAGGGAGTTATTGTGTCCCAAAAAGAGTGACGGACGGACAGACCGACGAACCCGTTTTAAGAGTCCCCTGCTTTCTTCGAAAGGCGGGGCACAAAAAAAAATAATTAAGAATAGTCCAGATGGTGTAAATTTAAAACGACAATCAAATTAGAAACCAAAATAAGATATTTAGGGTTACTGAATTCAGTATTGGGTTCAAAACTTAATTTCAAATAGGACTGCCACACACCAAATTTGTGCGTAAGCTTGAAATATCAGGACAAGTTACAGAAAACATTTGTTATGGTCAGTTTTATAAAAGCAGGGTGAGAACCCCATCGGACCTCGAACAGAGTGGGAACCCCTGTCCCCTAGTGTCCCTTGCTTGTGAAAAACTGCACTATTGTGGCAATCACAAGAGCCTGTCGTGAAATGAAAAACAGACAGAGTTTCTTAACCATGTTTATACTGTAGTTCGCATAAACCATAGTTTGTAAATAGGAGGTCGATCTTCAAATGAATACGAATTGTACGATATGCTAATCCCAACATGGCATACAGTAGTTTTTCTCAAACATACATTTTGCAAGACCTAAAACTGCCTATTGCAGATCTGATCTAAATTATTAATTAAACATTAATTAACTGATCCAGGCCATAATCAACTCTCGATGTCAACGCTAGCCTGCGATATTTACTCGATTAGGATCCGATTTGCTGTTCAACTACCATTCATGATTTAAAAATGAAATGGATAATCGACACTATATTTTTTATCATAGCGACTAGGCCGATGATGATACTGATGATCGAGTCTAGGCCGAAAACTGAATCGCTACAATCTCGGTTCCGAGTGGATCAGTTTGACTGAAAAATTCAGCAAATTCCCTTTACATTATCTAATTTTTAACTGTTATAGTGAGAACTGCCATATTCTTTAAATGAATATATTGTTAACGCGCTTTAAATATCTGGATGCAATAGACTTCGTATAGAAAATGCTAGTCACATTAAAATATTGGCAATAGGGGGGATTTCTTGCTATGGCTTGTTTGTAGTATAGGACGGGTTTTGATTATAATCACAATGTTACACATTAAATTATACCCCCCCCCCCTCTTGAAAATTGTAATTAAAGAATGTAATGATATCTTAGTTTATATTATGTCTTTGAATCTACCTGGGAGGTGTGCAACCGTATGACAATTTAAATTAATTAATATGATTATTTCTACAAAGATCCTATTATAGTCTTTAATTACGCCGTCTTCATTAGCCCAGTTCGGAGCAAAACAGTAGGAATTGAACTCCATTTTCTTTATTTTATCTTTGCTTCTAAGGGTATAATTACTAGGAGTAGAGAAAGGTTCTAATAGGCCAGATATATATGTTGGCGCGAGTTGTTACTCTTTCTGAGACTGGAACAACCCCTGTCTACGGTTAAATACAATCAATCGTCCATTTAAATATCCACATGAATATAAAAAAGTATAGACTGGAATATCCCGACGCCAAAGGTTTCCATTCAATTTGGACTATTCGCGTATTTCGCCGAATATAACTTATTAGAAATTACAGTAAATACAGAAACGATTGAATTTAAATCAGTTTAAACATATTCATAATAAATTATCTGATACATTGCGACCCATTCGTGCCATTTCTAGGTGTCAAAGA